TATAAGACACAGGCTTGGGTGCTGTTCTGTCTGCATATCTGGACCCCCAGCTTCCCCTCGTGAGCCCCCACGCAGAGATGGGGGTCTCTGAAGTGCTGGGCGAGATGCAGAGGAGAGTTTGTCATTTGGAAGAGGAGGTGGGGATGTGGTCCTGACTGTACTAATTCACACCAGAAAAGTTCTGGAAATGCTGCTGCCTGTAGCAGGCTGAGGCGGTGGGTGGGACCTGAGGGCCACTTTATTTATAATATACTTTATATAACAGCAGCTTGCTGGTTTATGTAACTCTCCAAAAAAGCAAAGCAGTCCCTGCTTGCCATCTCTTATTTATGGGCACAGCAGCTATATTTGCTACTACAGGCACATTTGTGGCAGCAGTAAAATGTGTGACTGTCATTGGGAACGAGGTCCATCAGCTTGGCAAGTGCATTCCCACGAGATATTACTAGACACACTGTCAAGGCTGGGGCAGCCTCAGGGGCTTAGGGTAGTGGCAAACACTAAAAAAACCCCTCTCCTGGAAGGGAGGGTTGTAAAGGCTGCACATTCAGTTAGTTGCTGGGTGCTGAGAGGTCTGCAGTGGGTGCCACTCCTTCGCTGTGCTGGCGTCAAGCTTTTTCGGCTCTCCCAAGTGAAAATGCCTTTGGGATCCGGCTGGTCCTAAGCAGGGGTTGAATTATGGGGGAGTCTGCAAAATACAAATGGGCTGCCTATCACGATGCCCTAATAGAATTGCAGACAAGATTATGATTTTCAAATCTTACAGGGGGACTTTCATCTCTTATTGGGGGGCTCAGCTCCCCTGAGCTTCCCCATAATTCGAACCCTGTTCCTAAGTGCATGCAACTGGCTGCCATTACTGTGTACCTGAGCACCCCCAGGTGACTACTGCATGTACCACCGCACCAGGGAAAGGCTGTTAGCTCCATTGTACAGATGGGGTCACAGAGGCACAGACTGGCATCCACAGCCATGTGACTTCCCAGGACGGCTCCAGATACCCGTGGCAGAGCTGGGAACTTGAGCCTTCCTTTTCCGCCTTTCCTTGCCATGGGTCAGTGACAGCCGCTCACTTCCAGAGAAGCTGGGATGGGAACACAAGGGGTTGCCTCGAGCCAGGATTTCGGGGCACTGGCACAGCTGCATGAGAAGAGAGGGCAAAGGGTGAGGGGCACCATCCGTCATGCTTGAGTTGCATGGGTGCCGGATGGGAATGGCAGGGACTGCTGTGTGGTAGGCAGGGCAGAGGACCACACGCAGGGCCTTCCCACGCCACAGACGCTCACATGGCCGCACGTGCCGACTTCCCACAGCACAGAAAGCAAAAGGGAAGCCTGGGGAAATTCCTACTGAAACGGTGTCAGCTCTTCCCAGCTGGAATGAAATATTTGGTGGAGGAAGGGTGCGGGGAGATCCATAAAAGGCATCATTTGCAAAGCCTTCCCCATTTCTGTCACTTGGCCTGCAGCCGGGCAGATCTAATCACCTCTCTCACCGGCACGTGGACACTGGTCTGATCCGGGACATCCTTGGCCAATTACATGGAAGGCGGAGAGCCCTCCTGGGCATTGCACCTCCGTGTCCAGCCCTTGAGAAGGCTGCTGTTTAATTAGGCTTGGAGGCATGCTTTATCTGTGGTTCCCTGCTAGAGGGTGGAGCTGTAGCAAAGTGCCTTGCTCCTGGGAAGTGACGCAGTGAACATCACAGATCTCCCCCACAGCAGCTTCCATGGAAAGGGGCCAGTTTCACGTCAGCGTTGTTTGGTCCAGTGTGTGCGTGCCTGGTTGTGCAGGCTGTCTGCTTTGGCTGGCCACATCCTGGCTCTGAAGTGCATGGACCTGATGTGTAGCTAAGGCCCAATGTTTCTAAAGCAGCCATGCAGAGCTCCTGTTTAGCTCGATGCGGGGCTCAGCATCTCTTTGCACAAAGGCCTGAGCATACTCAAATGAAGCACTCAAAACCGGCCGCTGCCTTACCACTGGTAACACAAATGCCCTCCCCACGCTGCAACAGCTGGCAGAAGGCTCCAGCAGCTCCTCCCAACTGCTGTCAGCAGGGAGAGGAGACCATCAAGAGCAATTTCTAGCCAGAGACCTGCAGCTTTTTAGCCCATGCTGTGATTTCAGTCCTGCAGACACCTCTGTAGCACAGCTGGATACCGGGCAGATGCAGCACGAGGCTGGGGATTGACAGCGTGCGAGCGCACACGGGGCACGAGGCCCCTGATGCCCTCCGGCAGGCGGGTTATATAACATCACTTGCGTCACTCCAGCCAACGCGGCCACCGCTGCTCTGACAGCGTCGCCCTACAGCTCTCGGGGGCTCTGTGCCACATTCATGCTCAGTTGGAGGTTGCGTTTTAGCTCACTGCACATATTCCTTCCGCGTGAAGAGTGGGATCGTGGAAAGCAGAGGGCCAGGCAGGCTCCTAGCATCATCCTCTAGCCTTGCATGGCCGCGGTGCGGCAGACCTGGCCAGACTTCCCTCGTAGCTCGCAGGGCCGCTCCCAGCATTACTTCCCCAAGTAGACTGTCTCATCTGATCTCACATCACCAGCGGCACGGTGCTTTCCTCTCCTCTCTTTGACAGATTATTTCATTGCTTAGTAGATCTCAGCATTACGGACTTTCCTCTAACATCTACAGATTCAGGGTTCGGGAGAAGTAGTGCGTCCTGGCCATCTGGGCTAAAAGGGCAATGTAAGAGCTTAGCCTCTCTCAACAGGGTGATTGTCTGATGCAACTTGCCGTTTTCAGTTCATGGAAATACACTTAACGAGCAAGGAGTAATTAATGCAGTCTGGGTGAAATCCTGCCCCTGGGGAAGTTAGAGGGTAAACTCCTGTCCACTTCCAGAGGGGCACCCTTTTATTCACTGTCTCCTTCAATAAGCTACAGAGACATCAAGGCCAAGGAGGCAGATTTTCTCAGTTATAGTGACCCACTGGTTTAGCAGGGGAGGCAAAGGAACAGCCTCAGGTCCCTATGGGGCTCAGTCTTCCCCAGGATTTGTGCACCGGGGCTAGTCTCTGGCGTGTTTATTCTCACAGGGCCGCGAGCAGCAGGGAAGAGAGCTGCTGCGTTGCACAGAGCGGCAGGGACCGGAGACAGAGCAAAGCCCTCCGTGCCTCCAGCAATCTGCAACTTGAGATCCCTCAAGGGGCCTGTGGCTGGGCAGGGATTTGCACCCCAGTTCTCCCCTGCCCTAGACAAGTGCCCTAATGGCTGGAAAGCCTTCAGTTCAGAGACAGTCCCATGCTTGCCTGCCACAGAGGGAACTAATGCTGTGTTACCTGGCTGTAAATCATCCACCTGGCGTCAGTGGCCCTTTGCCCCTTTACACCAGTCAAGGACTTCCCCCATGATGGTTGGGAACCATTGTGCTTCTCCAGGGAGAACCGGCCCAAAAGTTTGGAAATTTCCATTGCAGGATTTCCACAAGCAGAAATTTGGGAGGGGGGTTTTGTTCTTCTTGTTGCATCCTGAAAACATTTTGCTCCGGTTCAAGTGGCCCAAACTCCAGGGCGCGCATGGGCTGAAGGTGGACTTCCCTTGGCTGATTTGCATTCACGTGAAAGAGCCTCGGGCTTCCCCGGGTTGAATTTAGGCTCCTGGGGAATCTCTCACCCCTAGAGAGGGAAGAAAGAGGAGGGGTTCTCCATGGGGGAAACCAACACAGCGATGATAAATGCTGCCTCTGAAATATTCATGCTTAATAGGGCCTGTCAGATGAGGCGTGCATGGTAATGATACCACCCATCATGAGAGAGTTAATTGAATCAATGAAGTGAACAGCCCAGCCGTCCGGCATATGCCGACTTTCTGATCAGCCTAACCATTACTAAAGGACCCTTGTCACTCATCGCTGCTTGATTACACTGCTCTGCCTGCGAGGGGATTTGATGTGAAGTGTCCAATGAGGGTCCAGGCTGGCTCTAAATCCAGCTTTGCAAAGCCCCAGATAAAAAAGACTTCCATTAACAAGGCGAGAAAGGTTAGGACAAGCAGCATTACAGCAAATCTGGAGAGGTAAGGTGATAGTTTTGTCTGGGGCTTATGGAACATATGGTCCCGGCTTTTGTACTGGTAACACAAGAGCTCTTTTCTTGTAGCAGGGCAGGCATGACTTGTGCATATGTGGGCTGGAGCTTGATGTGGCTGATACTTGGAAAGTCAGGCAGTTCGGGAGACTTGCGAATGTGATTGGGGGTTGAATGCAGATCTTCTCCGTGTCTGCACAGCCCTGGCAGGTGGAACATGCTGCTTCTCTCGGGCTCCTGAAATAGATGTAGGCTGTCTGCTCGTGCTCAGGGTCTGATTGTTGAAACCGAGAGGGAGATATCTGTCTGCAAAGCGTGTTTAGAGGATTTCTGCTTTTTTGTAGTGTGATTGTTACAGAGCAGCAGCTGTCTCAGTAGCCTTTCTTACCCACTGCAATTCCCGTCTTACAATCAAGCAGCAAACTGCACGTAACTGAACTAATGATGGGGCAAAAGAAAGAAAGACAAAAGCTTAGTAATGCAGAACCAGCCATGTGTATAGGTGTGCAAGTGGCAACAGCATGTTGAGAGCGCTCTTGTGCTGCAAGGAGCCTTTTAAACAGCATGCTTATGAACATTTGGGCTCTAGCGTTTCCGAGATATTTATAATCTCTTGTGCCAACCTCTCTCCGTCAATATGACGCATCTTTACCTCGAGCCCAGCAAACCCCTTCCAAAAAAAAAGTGGCGGCAGCTGTTGGAAAGTACAGCCCATTTGTTTTATGATGCCGCTTTGGGAATATGATCCAGATCCCACATAAGAGAGAAGGGAAGCAGCAGAGTGAAAGGAGAGAGAAGGGAGTTCACAGGCTTTGGAACATAGCTAGCATAGTTTAAAGTTGACATGGAAAGTTAAAACCTTTCAGGCAAAGTGGACGGATAAAACACAAGCGCTAATAATGGGAAGCCAAAATGTTGTTTTTCTAGCAAATAATTGATTGCTCTTGTTTTCACCCACAGATCATTATTCTATTCAAGTTTCCAGGATTTTATTCCATCCCGGTGTGTATGTTTCTTAACCTGTAGTTCAGGCATTATAATGTTAAAGCATCGAGACCTGTTACAGTGTAATGCCACGCCATATTTTAAATCTTGAAATCCGATTTTACCCCGTTAGGCACAGAAGGCAGGTGCTTAGTCAAAGGCACGGGCCATTTGTTGTGCACAGCACTTCTGGGCTCAAACCGTTGCACAGCAAGAAAGCTCCGAAAGCAGCAGCCTCCATCTAAAAACGGAGGCGGGCAGAGCTGTGCTTGGCTCCAGGCACTGAGGTTTTGCCAAGCCGCTATTTGAGACTCAATAAACAGATATTTCCATTGTCAAATTGCAGAACTGAATACCTCTGTCAGCCCTTTGCATGTTCAAGCATTGAGCTTTGGAAAATAACTTCTTTTTGGTTTCTTCGGAAACTAAAGCATTTGTGTTGCACGCCCCATGGAGCAGCCGGGATCTCTGGGACAGATACGACGCATTTAAACCTGTGTCATTTGATAGTAGGTCACGTTTCAAAACAGCTGCTTCTGTGCACTTGCCTAGCTTCCACAATACAAAGGGGATTTACCTCTTGCTTTTACAGCCAGCAATCAGTTCCCTTCCTGTAGCAGAGACACAAACCCTACCCGTTTTCTCTTGGCTTTGCCAAGCACTAATTCAGTGTCCTGTTGTCCTCCCCAGTTATCCATGAAGGAGGTTGGAGACGGGCTGCATGAACAGATGAACTGCATGATGGGTGCCCTGCAAGAGTTGAAACTCCTCCAGGTTCAGACAGCTTTGGAGCAGTTGGAGATTTCAGGGAGTCGCAACCCGGTCTCCGGCGCTGGGCAGCACCAGTGCTGTCGAAATGGCAGAGAGGGGCCCAAAGCCAGGCTGGAAACCAGCAGGCAGAACGAGAGGTGGCTGGGCAAGAGGCCGGTGGAGGAGCGCAGCTCCCTGGCTATGGCCAACCCCACCCAGACGCACCAATCTGCCAGCCTGTTTGGCCCCGTTACTTTGCCAGACAGCGGCCACCACAGACACACGGCTTTCTCCGTCAGGAATATCTATAGCGAAGACTATTATCATGTTAACAGACCTTCCTCGACCCTGACCGCAGCAGAGTATTGCCCACCAAGGACATTTGAGTCGTCCAGTTTGGGCTCGACCGGAAACCAGCTTTGCAGAGACACACGCGGCCTCCCCCAGAGCCCGGCTGGCAGTCGAGCCGGCTGCAGGGAGTGCCAGCTGTCGGACGACGCCAACGACTGGACTTCCTCCCTGATGTCTCAGAGCAGAAACCGGCAGCCTCTGGTCTTAGGGGATAACATCTTTGCAGATTTGGTTGGGAACTGGTTGGATCTGCCAGAGCTGGATAAAAAGGGCGAGAAGAGCGAGCCCTCCCTCTCGCCCAGCAAGTCTCAGGAGTTCTGCAGGAAGTTCTCCCTCACCACCAACATTTTCAAGAAGTTTCTGAGAAGCGTCCGGCCGGATAGGGACAGGCTCCTCAAGGAAAAACCAGGCTGGCTGCCCGCGGGAGGCAGGGAGACGGAGCTCTCCAAGAGACCCAAAAAGGCCAGCAAACAGAAAGGGACGTTTTACTTTCCCCTCCACGGGAACATGCAGAACAATCACAGCAAAGCGGAGAGGTGCCCCAAGATGGAAACAAGCGGTGACAAATCCAAGCACTGTGCCAAGACGGTGCACGACACCATCGACTACACCCAGTCAGGCTTCGATATTAATACGGCTGTTTGGGTCTGAGCTCCCCTGCTCAGCCGTTGTGTTTGAAACCAGAGATGAGCTGGAGGGCACACATGGCCGCACGCGAGACCCCTCCACACCTCTGCCGCGCCACGTGCCGGAGGAAACGGAGAGCATGCAGTGCACTTCAGGCCCACGTAAGGACAGCTTCACGGCAGCCGCTGGGGAAGGAAGCCGGAGCAGCAGCCGAATCAGGATGTGTGCCGAAGCTTGCCAGAGCCGGCGAGAGTAACGTGAATCCTCAACCGCTGGCAGTGCCATGGAGAGCCATTTCCCTTCCCAGTCTGCAACTCTCACTGGTTATGGCAGCTTCCATGTGGTTCATCTCTGGTTAAAATAGATGCACTACATAAAACGCGGTGTGTGTGTGTGTGTGTGCACTATATATATATATATATATATCTATTTTTAAAAAATCTACTCTTCCTCGTGTGCACTTAATACTGGGTTACAAACCAAGCAACTCAAAAGTTGATCTCAAAGCACTTAATATTTAAATGAAAAGAGTTAGGTATGACTTGACGAGAGGCACTGAACCGTTGTTAAAGCCGGGTGTGGGCGCCTGAGCATCACACCACATTTCAGCTATTCCCTTTTTCAAAGGTGTCTCCAGTATAGTCACCATGTCTGTGCTTACCAGTGCCAGTTTAACCCGTAGCGAGTAACCAGGTCCATGCTTGGAAATTTGTGATGTCCAGAAATCCTTCGCCCATTTTGCTTAACCCTTCATGGCCTTAACCTCAGATGCTGCGCTGAGACCTTATGTCGGGTTGTTGGGATTTTTTAAGTGTTGTTGTGTACAGATTTAGCCTCGAGAGAACAGAGTTCTTCAGTGTTCAGCTCTCCAAGAGCTCCTAATAAAGAGATGTCAAAGTCTTCCAAAGCACTGTCGACTTGATCTGTATGATGTGCGATACGGCCTCTCTCAGCCCTGTATGTAGAGCAAAAGCTTTGGTCAGCTGTATGGGGCTGAAGAGCAGCCAAAGCTAAATAGCTGCCCTAAGAATGGAAACTATAAATCCTATAAGCCAGAAGGGACTGAGGCTCCCACATCTGTGGGTCAAAACAGCTGGAGTCTGATGGCCTTCAAGGCAAATGGCAAACCTGCTCTTTTGTTCTTAGCAATTGAAACGTTTGGTCAGAGACAGTTCACGAGGAAGCAGCCTTGGGGTCTTCACTTTCTTGGGTCACTGGCACGAGCTGCCTGGTTAGGACCAAGGTGCCTGGAGTGTACAGTCAGGTGCCATCTAGAAACCCAAATGCAGAAGTGCCCTAAAGCCAAACTGTACGCTCAGCACTAGAAGCCTCCTCCTGCCCCAGGCAGCCGGCCACGTCGCACGGCTGTCCCAGCGGGGCCTGGCACCATTAATGTAGAGCAAGACGTCTCTCCACACAGCGAGCCCTGCTTCCCACCCCTGACTCCACTGCAAACTGCGGGATGCTCAGGATCTGCTGCCCTTTGTTCCTTAGGATCTCCAGGAGCAAGGCGCAGGGGAGTGAACTGGGCGTGTAATTAATTTATTGATCATGGAGCCAGGAGGGGGAGATGTCCACCCTCAGTAGCTGCACCCACCTTTTCAGTCCCTCCAGCCATGTGCAGCTCCTTGGACTGGCACGGGGCTGCATTGCTCCCCCGTTTTGCAAGGGGGATGTGCGAGCACTCATGGCGCTTTCCTACATGCACGTCTCTTCCTTTTTGGCTCCCTAAGGTGAAGAAACCAGTGGGCCAGACATGGAGGAAGGGAGAGGGGGAGGTGTATACACACACACACATATTTATTTAATATATATATATTAATTTAATGGGGTTAAAAATATATAATACACATATTTTAATTTCATGGGGGGGGGGAATATATATATGAAATTAAACAAAACCAGCGCTGCTTTTGCCCAAAGAAGGCACGCGGCACGGGTCAGCGTGTGGAATTTGCTTTGGGCACTCTTTCAGGAACCACAGTCACAAGCAGGCATTCATTTCCCTCCCTCCCAGGGTTGGGGCTCGCTAGTTTTCTCCCCCTCTCCTCTGTCTGAAGGTCGAGAGGCTGGTTTTCCTCCCGTTTCTCATGAATGTCAGTCCTGTTTGTTCAGCGTGTGCGCTGCCCACACGCCTTCCCCGACCGGGAGGGAGCAGCCCTCCTAAATAAAGTCATTGTGAACCACAGCGCAGAACAAGCGTCCCGTCCCAGGGCCATCCTGCTCACCCCACGCTGGCGCGCAGGCAGCCTCAGCCTCAGCCTCCTCCTTTGCTAGCTCGCATGTACGCGACCCCTTCCTCCACTGACTCACAACGGAGCTGAGCCCAAGCTCACAGCGGTTCAACACATCCCAAGGCTGATGGCTTTAAAAAGAGTTATACTTCCAGAGCCAGCATTTCCAAGGTAGCTCTACCGCCGGCACGGCAGCCACAGGTGTTGCGGCTAATGGATGAGGAGCCGAACGTGCTGATGCTGCTCGGCTGGACAGCGGGATCAGGTTAACGGCTCACGCCCAGGTCTCGTGTGTGGCCGTGCTGAACATTAATCACAGCACCACTGACCCAGCAGCTGCCGGGTCCTGCCCCCCTCCCTTGTCCCTGCCCCAACCTTCGTTTTTTGCTGCTTTCTTACTGCTGGGTTGGCATGGCATGGTGCTGCATAGCAGGCAACGAGACCTGGGGCCTCGCTGCAAAGCTCTGGACCTCCAGAGGATCATTAATGTGTTTGTTGATGAGCTGTGATTACCCGAATGGGCAGCAGATGCCGTGTCCGGCCTCGGTACAGCACAGCGTCTTCCTCGAATGACCTGCCAGGCTGGGATTTTAGAGCCCCTTTCAACTCAGCCAGCTTGGTTTTGTTTCTGAGCAGGGCCCTGAAGGGGAATCGTCTGCTCTCACTGCCTGGGGATTTAGCACGTGCAACACCTGAAGGGAAACCCCTCCCTAGGCCAGGCAAAAGCAGAGCAGTGCGTCTCCAGAGCCAACAGCCACGATCAGAATTGGGGGAGATGGGAACCCGGCCCCTGTCCAAAGGGGAAGACCCAGCAAGCAGGTGGAAATATAAGCAGCACTCAGTCAGGTCCAAAGCACAGGTCTAGCTGGGGTGTTTCCAGTGCTCCCCTCTGGATCCTGGCCCCACGCTCACGTCCGCGCGGTCGAGAAACAGAGCCCCGCTGCGGCGGGTGCCTGAGCGCCGGGATTTATGAATCAGGAAACGGGAACCGACTGTGCCATGGCACATGGGCCCTTGCAAAGGCTGAAGCCCCAGAACAGCAGCTGTCAGCAGCGCTGCTCCCCTCCCGTCTGCCGCGGGCTCTGACAAGGAAGCCAACTGGAACGTCTCCGGGGAAGGGGACCTTTGGCCTCGCCTGCCTTTCCCTGACAGCTGCACTCGATGCATCACCACACTTCTTTCATTTGATCCAGGGGAAATGAATGTGGGGGGATAAAAGACGGGGAGAGCGTCACTCAACTCAGGATCGTGCTGCAATCAAAGCCTTCGTAAGCAATTAGGGGACCCCTCGGATCAGAGCGGTGCCTGCTTTGCCAGGAGGCGGGATTGTTTCCGGGTCCTGTGTGGCAAGCGGCACTCCGAGCCCCGTGTCTCTTCCACCGTGGCTGGGCTGGCTCTGCCCCATCCGTGCCTGCTTCTCGTGAAGGTAGTGCTAGGTGGCTCCTTCCCCGGTGGGAGCAGGACTTAGGGGCTGCAGTGGTGGTGGCAGACAGGCCCGGCGGGGAGACCAGTGCCCTGATCCTGCGTTCCCAGCTCCCCCGATGTCTGCGTCTGTGGGAGAGCTGCATCCAGCCGGCGTGGGGACCGGCAGTTCAGATCAGAAAGGACCGTGGTATCCTCAGGAGCTGCAGCCTCACTTGGTGCCTGGCACCTGAGGAGATGCTGAGGATCAGGCTGGTGCTAGGAACGGGGCACAGCACAATTACTGGAGCTGTGTGATGAAGGCAGCGTGATATTATTGCTAAGAGCATAAGGTTGATTATTTCAGAATAGAGCAGAGGATGTGGGAGGGGCAGCGGCGAGACTAAAGAGAGCACCACATGCAGAATTATGCCGCAGTCCATGATAGATGCACATGGATAGTGACAGATGGGCTAGATCATCTTCAGGGGAGGGAGCATCTCTTGCTATTTCCATGGTCCAAAGTCTAGTGAAGATCATGGGAGCCCTTCCCTTGTCTTCCTAACACACGGATCCAGAATGGCACCTCTGGCACTCCACAAGCCAAAATAGATAGATAGATAGATAGATAGATATAAAAATCATAGAGAACCTTTAGCTTCTTGAAAGCCTGGATCTTACCATCCTGCAACTGCGAAGCACCTCACCTGAGTGGACCTGTACAAATAATAACGACGACAAGTCATCCTCCCTACAGAATTAGCAGGGGCTTTTCATAGCTACCACTCAATCTACCTCCTAAACAATGCACTTTTAGATTCTCTTGACAGTTTTTTTTTAAAGCTAAAAATATTTTCTCGGGTCAGCTTGATGCCTTTAAAAATGTTCTAATGAATCTAGAGTCAATGGTAGCTTTTTGGTTGCAATAATTACTACTGATTAGCAGAGTCACCCAATAGGGTATAGATCAGACTTGCTGAATGAGACAGGATGAGATCTTGGAGATGCTTCAAACAACAACAGGACAGACGAAGAGCAACTCCTAAAGACTTCTTCAAAAGTCCAGACTGTATTTTCCATTCTTCCTATGCCTGAAGAGTGTTTGTACCCAAAAGCTGGCAAAGGACATTTTTTTCAACTATTTAGTGGGTCCAAGAAAAGATCACATTTACCCAAAGAACCTTGTCTGCTATCTAAGATGCACTTGTGCACAAGACCATTCCCATCCACAAGGATAAAATTATGGGAGGAAAGAAATTAATATAGATATGAATGAGTTGTGGCCTGCTTTCAACACAATTCTATTAGTTTTCTCTATGTAGCTGAGGTGGGTAAGATGCATCTTTATCTTAGACCTCCTTTCCTGGGGGGCGGAAAGGGGGCTCTGCATACAGAAAAATGCAGCAATGAAGTTTCAAGTGCATCTCGGCTTTCTCTGCCTATGGGGAAAACTCTTTAAAAGTCTGTTGTTTTGCAATGGGATAGTCCAAGGTGCCTCCGCCAAAGGAGTTCAGTGGGCAATGGGGTCCTAATGCTTCTTAGACAACTAAAGCCCCTTGAAGGTAGGTCTTACTATTCCCAGGTGTGGCGACACAATTTATATTTTCTAATAAACAGAGCAACAATAAGAAATAACACCTGAGCAAGGCACCCATCCCTGCACGATCTCAGCTCACAACAGCTCAAGTTGATGGATCCAGGTAGAGCTTTTCTGCTTTTATTTTTGCAGGTTTGAGACCTGCTACCTCATCACCTGAGCCACTTTCCCTGAAACAAAGATGGTTCTTTCCTCCCCTTTCCCTGATGAAATTTCCATTAGTCGTTCCCCATTGTTAGGTATGAAGCCCACCTAATTAGCCCAATGACAGTATTTAATGAGGCCCTGGCTGAATTCTGCATCTCTGATAAGAATAGTTAGTGTAATAACACTATTCCCCTCCCTCCCCTGCATGCATTATAGATCATTCTCCCCCTATTTAACTCGCACTGTTTAAATGAGCGATGATAAATGAAACTCAGGCATTCAGACTCATTAGAAATTTCTATTCTTGGGAAGTGTTAAGCCCACAAAGGGTTGAATGCATCAGAGTTTGATGACATCCATTCATATGCCAGGAATTAATAAAGTGGGACGAAGGAAAGTGTCTGCTCTGGGTGCACCTGTTCTGTATGCCCAACAATAGTGGCTACCTGCCAGGGATCAATTCTGCCTCACACTCAGTGTCTCCTCAATGGGGCTGGAAACCCTCCACTGACAGACAGGTGG